AGTGAATGTGTGATCCAAATTGTCAAATCTATTAGTGGGTTGAGAGAAATTCAAAATTGAGAGCAAGCCACCACTTGAACACTTATGCATATTGTCTATTTCATGATTTGCATTTGTTACTCTTGGACTCTTCGGTCCTAGACGGCTAGGCGTCGCCGGAGAGCACCCGAGAGATTGTGATGTGGCTTGGAAAGTTTGTAACGGTCGATTCCACCGCCTCGGAATCAACTAGTGGAAGGAGAAAAAGGAGTTGGAAAAGACTCCGGCTAGAGTGACCTTCGTGTTACCCTTTAGGGCTGACCGTCGTTGGGTCGTCCGCAGCCCCCTCAACGTAGAGTAGGACTCGAATGAGTTCAAACTTCGGTAAAACAAGTATCGTGTCTCAATTCGCATTTCATTTGATATTTGTGTTGTTCTAGCTCTAGTGCAGGTTACCTATGTGTGACACTATCTTTAGTGGGTGCCTATAGATTGGTCTGAAGATTAAAATCAAAAGGAGCAAGTTTGAGGTTGTTCTGCAGAACACGTGTATACCGGACACGTACCTACCGGACACATCCGGTATTAGAGCTTAGTGCTGAATTTATTTGATCCGTGTTCTAATTCTTGTGTTGCAGGTTCTATGCTAACTTATGAGGGGTTGTATTACTTTGATTTGGAGTTTTCACTCGGAAATTCCCATTACCAAATTGTTTCCGCATTTATAGGTGTTAATTTTCAGAAACGCCTATTCACCCCCCTCTAGACGGCATCCTAGGTCCTTTTAGGATGTCTTGCATGTTGAGATAGAACTTGAGATGACGTGGATAGCTTGCATTGAAAGGTTAAAAGTTAGTGACATAACATGACTGCTAGTGGAGGATAACGTGGATAGCTTGCATTGAAAAGTTGAAAGCTAGTGGCATGACATGACTATTAGTAGGGGATGACATGGATAGCTTTCATTGAAAGGTTGGAAGTTAGTGGTATTGAAAGGTTGGAAGTTAGTGGCATGATATGTCTATGGCCCTATTGGTTTCGCTGAAATTTGGTTGCTGTTGATACTGATGCTGATGCTGATTTGTTGTGAGAGGAAAACGCTGTTCCTTCGCTAAACAGTACTGCTGAAGTAGTGCTGAAAAAATAGGATGAGAACATATAGTGAAAATTAGCTTTATAAGAGATATAAATTAGCATCTGTATTGTTTCAGTGAGAATTCACTAGTGCAGCTCAAAGATGCTTGCAAGAATTAGCAGATTCACCTATATATTTATTCTCTCTTCATGCACCATATTTTTAATGGCACGGACATGAAATTAGCAAAATTCATGATAAGTCGAATCCATCTCACCAGTGGATAGACGCCGGCGCGGTGAAACTAGGTTGTCTAGTGCGCGAGTAATTACCTTGTCCAAAGTCCGCTAAAACATCTGCCCTCCTAGTGCGCCATTGCGTGGCGCGTCGGCGTGGCGCGTCGTGTAACTAAACTATTTCTCGATCTTAATACAATGATACACAAGCTTTTGCGTATTTTAGAAAAAATATGAAAATAAAACCCCGTTATAACCAGGTTGACACTGCCTAATGTGTATATATGAATGAATGAATAAGGGTTTTAATTAAGCAACTGATAGATCTGGTAAATGGCTAAAACAGACCTTCCAGGAATACGTGTGGCCTGAAAATTATTTACGCTGACTATTCAAAATCCTTGATTTAGTGGTTGGTTTGTTTTGTTTTTGAATAATTAATCAGGTAGCACGCACACACTTCGCATCGCATCTAATATGTTTCTTGGAATTCCTATGTTTCTTTTTAATTATCTATAAAATATATATGGTTCTCTCTCTCTGTCTTTACGACCATAAGTCGTATTATCTGAATTTATGCACCAACTGACACCACCACATACACACTCACACACGTTCTAGTGCACAAATTAGACCTACACCCATACGAAGAGACTGCACATGGATTTGGAGTACGTGTTTACGTGTTGTTGCGTAGCAGCTAAAGGACCTGTTTGTTTGAGCTACTTTTCAGCCATAAAATAGTATTTTTCTCTTATAACATTTCAATATAAACATTAACATAAACTAAATTTCAGCATAAGCGAAGATGACCGAAGTCATTTGCCATGCAGCGAAATAGTGACTGTGCGTGCCTGCACTCTGTTGAAGTTGACTTTGTAGTAGGAAGGTGTAGCCCGGATGAGCCGGCCCGGGCGGAGGACGACGATGAGTGGTAGGTAGTAGCTCATCACCTACGCATGCAGCAGCAGCGTGTCGCGTTGGCCAATCGTATAGTAGTAGACTACCGGTTGATGGCGTTGAACGGCTAGCCGGCCGGCGTATATGCATATAATATAAGGCTATTACGTTCTTGCCCCTATTTTGAATTTTAATTGTGATTTTACCCCTATTTTTTTTTACTTTGTGTTTTTATCCTGCTTTTCTAAAACGAAGGTTCAGTTTACCCCTACTCCGTGAACAGTAGGTAACGGTGTTAAAAAAGTTGACAGATGACAAGTTTGCCATTCTGAATATTGCGTTTTTGCCCCTATTTCAAACCTCAATTGTGTTTTTACCCCTACTTTTCCAAAACGAAGGCTCCGTTTACCCTAATTCTTAATTCAGTTATCCACATCCGAATCAAAGCAATTAAAAATTAACAAAAGCCATATGAAAAGACAAACTTACCTCATATCTCTCGGTCGTCTCTCTTAGGGTCATCCCTCTCAACGCTAGTAGGCAGCGGGCGGCTGGGTGCAGCGGCGGTGGCGGCGGAAGGGCAGCGTCGGGTCGTCGGGCGGGCACGGCGAGCGAGTGCATGCGGCCAGGCGGAGGAAGCGACGCGGGTGCGCGCGGCTTAGCCTGACGTAGGCGCGCAGCCAGGCACGCGGCTCTGCATGGCGTGGCCGCGCACAGCCAGGCACACGGCTCTGCATAGCGCGGGCGCGCGCGGCTTGGCTGGCGTCGCGAGCGCGCGTCTCGTGAAAGCAGCCGACCATGGAGCCGAAGACCCGCCTCTCTCTCTCTCTCAACTCTAGCGGATGGCTGGGTGCGGCGGCGGCGGAAGGCCAAGCAGAGCCGCGTGCCTGGCTGCGCGCCCACGTCAGGCTAAGCCGCGCGCGCCCGCGCCGCTTCCTCCGCTTGGCCGCACGCGCCCGCTCGCCGTGCCCGCCCGACGGCCCGACACTGCCCTTCCGCCGCCACCGCCGCCGCACCCAGCCGCCCGCTGCCTGCTAGCGTTGAGAGGGACGACCCTGAGAGAGACGACCGAGAGATAAGGGGTAAGTTTGTCTTTTCACAGGGCTTTTGTTAATTTTTAATTGCTTTGATCCGGATGTAGATAACTGAGTTAAGAATTGGGATAAACGGAGCATTCGTTTTGGAAAAGTAGGGGTAACAACACAAAGTGGAAGAAAGTGGGGGTAAAATCACAATTGGGATTTGAAATAGAGGCAAAAACGCAATATTCGGAAGGACAAACTTGTCATCTGTCAACTTTTTTAACACCGTTACCTGCTGTTCACGGAGTAGGGGTAAACTGAACCTTCGTTTTGAAAAAGCAGGAGTAAAAACACGAAGTGGAAGAAAATAGGAGTAAAATCACAATTGAAATTTAAAATAGGGGCAAGAACACAATAGCCCCTATAATATACTATGGTTGATTTGGACACTTGGTCCATTCTGATCACTAGAGGATCACAACCGATCGTGAGTCGTGACTCGTCGTAGAGTACAGTACGTACTGTACGTGGCATTGACCTGGATCCAACATGCACGCACGTGCATGCTGCGAGCGGAAAGCGATGCTGTACGCTACTGACCGCCGGCCGCTCCTTCCATCGGGTCGGGTAGGTAGTGCTGACCCTGACCCTGACCCTGACCCTGACCCTGATCAACCCTGACCTCCACAGCCACGACACGGAATAATGTAGACGCTAGTAGGGGCTGTGAACGGGACGGCATACCTATTCCTTGATCATTAGGATTTGGGACAGCGCAAGCACAGATTCATGGAATACTAGCTGTTCCTTGACCATTGCGGGCGAGCCCACGTGGGATGGCAGCAGTCTTAACATAAGGGCATCTGCAATGATCGTAAGCTAGTTCCAAGTATTTTTTTATATTTTAATAAAAAGAGATAGAAAAGTTAGCATTTGATCGAGAGCTAGGCTTATATACATATTTCAACAATATGTGAGAGTGTTATGTGGGTCTAACTATAATATGAGCTATTGTTAAAAAGTAACATTATTGAAGAGGTTGGCTTAAAGCTAGTAACTGACGCTCATTGTTGACAGGTGCCCTAAGGGCAGGCTCAACGCAGGTAGCAGTAATCGTATGCCTTGGAGTCCACGTAGACAAAACTGAGGGCCTGTTCGGCAGGACTAAAAAATACTGTTCCGGCTGATTGTTGTGAGAGAAAAATACTATTCTGACAGAACATAAACAGTGATTTCGTGAGGTTGGTCAGCCGGCCACCAGCCAGCCGAACACTGCCTCAGGAGACCGTACTTTTTCAGAGCTTATATGCTATCAATGTCCCAAAGGAGACCGTACTTTTCCAGAGCTTTTTCCACCTCCACTGCTGTCTATTCCGTAGCTTTTCCCCTCCTCGTTCTGCTCTTCAGGACACATGCTATATGGTGAAGTCTCCAACACGCGTTCAAGCGAATGCTTCGAGTTTTTCTTAGATGGAGCACAAGGACTCTGCAAGGCTGTTGTTCAGTGTGACATAGAGCAATGGCTCCGATGTGGAGGTTGGGGCACTTGTCCAGCCTAGCGCGTTGGGCACGGCCTACCTGTTGCCAGTGCTGTAATAGTGTGTGTTCTCACTCTGAAACGGCAGTGTTCGATGCCCACACATACTGATCGACCATTTCCTCTTTGACATTTTTGTTTCCTCTGCATTTTTCTCTTTATATATGCTGTTCCCTATTGGTGCCGTAGTACGTTCGGATTAACAATGACCTGTATGACAATTCTTCTTTCCTCTATTATGCTGTTGCCAGTTTCTCAAGTTTGTTGGAGCAGAGCCGGACTTCTTCCTAGACACCAAGGAGCTGCACCAAGAGAACCCTAACATTCCTGTACGCCCTGTCATCTTCGGGCCCAAATTCACGGCCCAGAGGCTGTATCAACTAAGTCCACCAGAGGTGATAGCACCCTAGCTAGTCTTGCTCTTCCGCCTATGCATTATTATTATCATGTAGTACGTAGTATAATATCATGTCTAAGAAAATGGCATGCTTCATGAAGAAAAAAGAAAGAAAAATGGTTCGTTTCAAAAAGAAAGAAAAATGAAAGCTTTTCGTAGCGATGGTAGAGAAGAAGGATTTTGCAGCTTCAAATGAAAACGTGTTGCTTTAATAATACAAAGCCATAATATAATGGTGGTAATGATGAATTAACCAGCTGCTATAGTTGACTTGGCTGGCATTCAGGACTTGAGGCTGGCGTTGTCGCTTGATCCGGCCAGCGAACCGGTTCAACGAGGACGCACTGACCAAGGACCACTACTAGGATAAGTATTTGTAGGGGCGACTGAGGATGCTTCGTAGAGGCAGTTTGGCCAGCCGTCTCTACCATACTATCTCTACAAATTATGTATTTGTAGGGGTAGTTCTCAGACCGTCCCTACAAATCGATTTGTAGGGACGGCTGGTGTTATTAGCTGTCCCTATAAATCGATTTGTAGGGTTGGCCGGTAACACCAGTCGCCTCTACAAAAGCGATTTGTAGGGATGGCCGTAGTATCAGCCGCCCCTATAATACCTATTTGTAGGGGCGGTTCAGTCTAGAACCGCCCCTACAGTATATTTTTTTGTCAAAAAAAATTTAAATTTACAATTCAAATTCGACCAAAACACACACATATGTATATATAATTCAAATCTGACCAAAACATATATAATTCAAATCTGACCACAAGAACAAGAGCATTATATAAACTACCATTACAAGTCTAATTCACAAGAATATATACAATCCATCATTAAATAGATATAATTCACAAGTTTAATTCGTTCCACAAGTTCAAACCGTCCCACAAGGTAAGACCAATGTCAAATTCTATACACATTGTTATCAATAGCCTAGAGCTAGCCTTTTAGTCTCACGAAGGTGTTGATACTGAGGATTTCTATCTAAGTTAGAATCTCGGTCATGGTAGGTGCCTTTGACGTGTACAATCTGGTCCAATATGAAGTTGCAAAGGTTGCCAACGAGCTCTAAGAGTTGGCCATCCTTGTATGAGTCTCTTTTCATTTCTTTCTTTTCTTTCCACTACAAGAGAACAAGTTTCGGTTTAGTATTTCATATCATATGCGAAGTTTTTATACTATGGGTGAAGAGGTTCAAACTTACCCTTAAGGGGGTATCTCCTGTAGGCACCGGTATTACTCATCATAGAACATACATAGTATCCACAATGTACACTCCTAGGCTTCTGTTTGGGGCACTGTATGTTTTGCATATAGAAATATTAAGTAATGCTTTTGACAGCCATGTAATGTAGTACTAAAGTAAGTTACACTTACCGCACATAGTGTTTTTATAGCCAGTCTTTCCTTTCTTACTGGATCATGCCTTCCGTGATGTTGATTGACATAGAACGTGAATGCCCTATTTGAATTATTTTAGCAAATGCAACTTGTTAGTATCCAAAAGTGAACGTTATAAGTATGTATACAAACATATAAGCTAATGAGAATTATCGATATGTGTACGTCTTGAGAATCGATATGAAATCTTTGTATGTCACCGGGTCCCTATCTATTGAATCAAAGACCCATGCCATGCTTCTCCCAACATCGACGCCTATACAAATCCAGTGGTTGCTGCATGAATTTAATCATAGAACTAGATAAGCTCTTTTGCATTGAATAAAATATATCGAACAAAGCTTTAAGTATAGAGTTGAACTTACTCGAAGTTGTATAGTAGCCATACAGTAGAGTGCTGTTGGAGATTTTAAAAAGCCAGGGAAATATATGCCAAAACCTTGAGGGACTCTTGCCTTAGTTTCTTCGTATGGATGTCCTCTTTCTCCCGAAGGGTCTTTCCAGCAGCTAGCTCTTTGGCATCCAGTTTCCACTGTCAAGGGTAATTAAAATTTATTTGTGCTATAGCTTGAGAGCCTATATACCCGGCTTTTACACTTGGCATTTGTTTTACAATATGCACTTGCATTCTACAAATTACGATGTGAGTTAGTTACAACAAAATCCAAAGATTACATTCATATCATATCGGGAGGGCAAGGACTTACAGGCCCCACGTGTGAATTAGATTCATTTCTATTGCTCCGAGGTGAAAGCATGTCTGCATGTCATTGAAGTCAAAGATAATTTTCCCAGCTGGGCTTCCAAATGTGCCGGTGGGAAAGCATGCTTGTATGAGGTCTATGCTCGCTAGAAGAACACATAAGTACCAATCATGGAACCTTCTCATTCCAAGTGGTAGGCGCTGGATGTCCCGGTTTGGTAGGAAGGGCTTGCCTCTTTCATATATTTTCGGGCAATCCTTTGACCATTTGATGGCATCAACATTTGAATACTGCTTTGCTGTTTGGTGGACTTTGCTAGTGACGGCCTCCTTATAAGCCTGTGTTGGGACTTTTTTAACTTGGTTCTTAGGCTTGAACTGGTCATGGGCATACCACTTGTGCACCGACGAGATATCTTTCATCGGAACATAAATTGGCCTTATGGTGATTGGATGCTTCTTTCGAAGTTCCCATTCAGGCAGTCCTCATCTTCTTGTGCATCACCTTCTTCAGGACACTACAAGAAACCTTGTAATCTATGACAAAATTTTTGTGACGATTTCTGAGAACGTCGTTAACTGTCACAATCTGTGACGATTTTCATTTTCCCGTCATGAATCTGTCAGAGTGGATATGAGGCCCGTAATATAGTGATGTTTTATCAGTTTCGTCACAAAGCGGCCCAAAACCTGTGATGTTATGATGAATTCGTCATGAATTGTTCCAAAACCTACGACATAATAATAAATTCATCACAAATTGTTCCAAAATCTGTGACGTTCTAATAAATTCGTCACCATTTTCAGTCCACGTCATCACGTCACGTCGCTGCTCCGCCACGTCATCCGGCCACGTCGCCCACACCGCCACGTATTCCGGCTACACGTCGCTGCTCCGCCACGTCAGCACGCTCGGCTTGGGCTGCTAGGCCTGCACGCTCGGCTTGGGCCTGCTTGGCCGCCGCTGCTGCTTGCTCGCTCTGCTTGCACGCTTGGGCCGCTGCTGCTTGCTCGGCTTGGCCGCTGCTCTGCTTGCACGCTCGCTTGGGCCGCTGCTCTGCTTGCATGCTTGGGCCGCTGCCGCTCTGCTTGCATGCTTGGGCCGCTGCTGCTTGCTCGGCTTGCACGCTTGGGCCGCTTGGCTTGGGCCTGCTTGCACGCTTGGGCCGGCCGCTGTTGCTGTTGAGCCGCTGCGCTTGGCTTGGGCCTGCAGGCCTGCGGGTTAATGGCAAAAAAGAATTGCTGCGACCGAGAATTGAACCCGAGACCTCGCGGACGAACGAAACCTGCCTTACCACTAGGCTACTAGTTCATTTGCGTTTTGGTATTGGACTATTTCCTTTTATAAACAGAGAGTTGCGGCCGAGCTAAAATAGCTAAAGCAGATGAATCGAGAGATTCACATGCGCCGTCCCCGACTCCACCTGCGCCGTCCCTGACTCCTCCTCGCCGTGCCATCCCCGCCTCCACCTACGCCGCGACGTGCCGTCCCCGCCTCCACCTGCGCCGTCCCCGCCTCCACCTGTGCCGCGCCGCGCCGTCCCCGCCTCCACCTGCGCCGCGACGTGCCGTCCCCGCCTCCTGCTGCGCCATTGTTGAGTGTCCACGGTATGTATGTGCCGGCCGCCATTGTTGAGTGTTTCTTTCGACTTGGTGTAGATGTACTTGTTCATTTTGGTTGCTGTGCTATGGATGAACAGATGGATCGAACTTGGGTGCATAGAAAATTGTTTTCCCCTGAATACATTGCTGGTGTGAAAGAATTTATGAGCTTCGTTCACAGAAAATTCAGTGAGAATGTTGAAATTTTGTGCCCATGTGGTAGATGCCTTAATCAGAAATACATGAATCAGGCTGGAGTGAAGAAGCACATATTGATGAATGGAATGGACAGTACTTACACTCGATGGATTCATCATGGAGAGAACTTGGATGTAGATGTTATTGATGATCCTATTCATGTGCATGATGTAGAAGATTGTTCCCTACATGATGTAGAACTAACAGAGGATGACAATTATGGTGTTGATCCTTTAGAAGCGGTTTTAGGAGACCTGCACACTGCAGAAGAACAAACAAGACACGATGGACAAATTGACGAAGGTAATGCAGACCATCAGGATCAAGATTCATTTTTTAAAATGGCCATGAGAGAGGCAAAGCGTCAGCTTTATCCTGGTTGTGCCAAATTTTCAAGGTTCTCCTTTGTGGTGAGGCTCCTTCATATGAAGTCATTATATAGGATAAGCAATTCTGCTTTTTCTGTAGTAATGAAGCTATTGGCTGAGGCGTTCTCGGAATGCAATACACTCCCAAAATCATATAATGATGCAAAGAGTCTTCTTAAAGAATTAGGTCTCGGATATGAATCAATACATGTGTGCTACAATAATTGTGTGCTGTTCAGAAAGAAATATGCCAATTATGATAATTGCTCTGTTTGTGGTCTCTCAAGATGGAAAGATGCAGAAAGGAAGAAGATACCTCAGAAAGTGTTGCGGTATTTTCCATTGGCACCTAGGTTAAAAAGGATGTTTGCAACCAAAGAAGCATCAGAAGAAGCACAATGGCACAAGTTAAAGCGGCAGCCCAATGAGACAGAAATGAGGCACCCAGCTGACGGCGAGGCATGGCAACATTTCGACCGAGTATATCCAGATTTTGCAAAAGATCCAAGAAACCTTAGACTTGGGATTGCTACTGATGGGTTCAATCCTTTTTCAGAACAGAACTCAAGATACAGCATGTGGCCTGTACTTGTTGTGCCATACAACCTTCCACCCTGGGCATGCATGCAGGAGTCAAACTTCATGATGGCTTTGCTTATTCCAGGACCTAAATCACCTGGGAAGGACTTTGATGTATTTTTAGAGCCTCTTATAGAAGATTTACTTGAACTTTGGAA